CAGCTGCGTATCTCTTTCATTGATAAAGAGGGAGAACTTATGAGCTTTCTCTGTTTAAAATTTTTATACAGAGCAAGAGAGATTTATTTGGGGGTTTGGTCTCTTTTGAGGGCTGGGCTCCTAAATGCTATCAAGTCCTTATAGCTGAGGCCTTCCAAAGCTCTTATCAGGATCTGTGTTACTCTACTGGGTGGCTGTTACTTCAGCTCTGTGTCTTGGTTGGGAGAAACCAGAGCATCTTGCCCAGCAGAACAGGGTTGTAGGGTACCCAAAGGGTAGGTAGGTAGGCAGGCAGGCTCAGTGGTAAGAGCAGTACACAGGGTGACAGTCTTTGTAATCCAACACATCACACTGTCCTTTTGCAAAGTACCCTACGTTGACCTTGACTCGCATTCAAACCCTGTTGCTAATTTTTAAATGGCATAGTAGCCAATTCGTTGCTACATCATCTAGTGGAGAGCAAGTTACCTTAAAGACTTTATGGAATGTCCTCTTACCTTGTCCTCTTCTAGTCTCTGCTTTCGTTTTTCCTCTACTGCAGCTCGCCTTCTCTCTTCTTTTAGTCTCTGTTCTTCTAACTTCTTTTTGCGCTCCTCTAGGTGTTTTTCGTAATGCTGCCGTGCTTTCTCTTCTCTTTCTAACCAGATTGACTCTCTTGCAGCTAAAAGAAAAGTAGACATAAAATGTAAACATATTATACCATTTACAATTGCAACACACCTCTGATATCCTGGAAAAAACTCTGTAGTGTAGACAGTCTCAGCCTAGGTTACCTCAGATTGGGTGAATTTGATCTTTTTAAAAATCAAATATACATATACACACCAATAACCTGGTGTGCGCTTGCTTTAATTACTGTATAATATCAACATTAGAAGTAGAAATAATGAAAATATAGTCTCAGAAAAACTGACCTATGCAAATTATTTCATGCCCTTTTAAAATTCCTGAATTAATATTTATCTTGTCCCCCTCACTTGGAGGCAATGGCTCCACACTGGGTCTCGTGGCAGGAAAAAATGCTCAGCTGCATTAAGTTGCAAACGTGAAACCATAAAAGGGACAATTCTGCTTTGGAGCACATCTCAGACCACTTCGCTGTCTATGCCTATTGCTTCTTTTTCTAAGCCATATTTTGCTAGCTACTCAGATTAGTGTGATTTTACTCTGAAAGTTGATTATTGAAAAACAATATGTACTATTACTTCTCTACTCAACAGAATAATGTCTAAATTATGTACACTTCACACTTCCCCAAACCTGCTGAAGGCAATACGGATACATTGGTGTCTGTGCATAATTTGGAGATTGTGAGGTTTTACCAGTGTCACTAAAGGCAAACGTGGGCCTGCATAACTGTGATTACTGGGGAGGACACACAAGGAAAAAGTAACTTGCCTCGGCCCTCAGAAGTCAGGTTGTGTTTACAGGGCTGGCAGATGACAAGAGAGACCACCACCATGATGCAATTTTAAGTCACTTTTTCTATTTTAATGCTCTTTTTGTCTTCCTCTGACCCAATTCTTTGTTTTTAATGTTGTCTTTTAAGAACAGAAATGCAACATTGCATATATGTCCTCGGTCTTTAAATCACTTCTTGTAACCCCTTATTGTCTAGTGAATCTGCTACCCTTCATTTCAGAGTCACAGACTTCCACTGTCTCCCTTATTTTTGTGCCATGGTTATGCAGGAAATCAGACTAGAAGATCATAATGGCCCTGCCTGGCCTCAAAATCTGTGAATTTAAGTTGTGCTGTACAAATGCTTATGATGACAGTTCCAGGCTACACAGCATTTACAATCTAAGCTGGTAAAGGTATTCTATATGATCAAAGCATTATACACGTTTATATTTTATATACATAAACAAATAGACATCAACTAGTCCTTATTGCCCCTCTCAACTGATCCTTAATTAGTTGGCTAATTACTTACTAATGTCATAGAAGAAATGGGTCTTGAGAAATGGTCTGAAGGAAGACAGAAGGAGTTCCCAATCCTTATTCCAAAAGGGAACTGGAGTTTATGGAACTATATACAAAACCAAAATAAATGATTTGATCTTTATTTATTACAAACCTTGAATTTCTCTTGCTTTCCAATAAAGAAAGAAGCTGGAATCTTTTCTTTTCATGCATTGCTATATGACTGTATTGTGACTAATTTAGATCGCAATCTCTACAAAATAAGGATTTTGATTTCTCCCTCAGTACAGCACCCCTTTGCTTTTGGTATTAATTTCTTTCTTTCATTCACTGATTGAAGAAATAAAGACAGAAAGAAAGAAAATCCATTCACTTGTTCTGTAATGCTTGAATAAACTAAAGAACTTCAGTAATACCATGATTCAAAATCTGCACCCTGCTGGATCATTTTCATCATTGTTTCAAAGCTTTGGCACATACCAAGTGGAAACCTACCTGATTTAAGCCCCCATTCTCTTTGGCGCATGGCAAAGATTTTTAAAAGCATCGAAAGGACTTAGAAGTACAAGTCCCATTTGAAGGTTCCCTCTCTTTATACAGTATATATGTTGGCTTTCATTCAATCACCATTTAAAGACAAGCTCCCAAGAAGCTGAGCCTTGACCTTATCAAACAAGCAGTGCACTAACAAAAGACTTTCTCTGGGTTCCCAGATCAAATGGCTCATCCTTTGTGCCAAAATGTGCATTGACTGAGAGAGGACTTGACGTTGGTATTCTTGAAAGTAAGTAAGTACTTCTGGAACGTCAAGAAAGCTAATGGGGGAAAAAACCTGCCAATGTCTCCAGTATATTACTTGGTGCCTTTCTGTCAATTAGTCATAGTGGCAATAATCTGTTATCCTGTGTGCATATGAATGTGTCTCTCCTTTCATGCTCATTTTCACAGAGAAACTGAGGATCATAAGAAAAAGAAGTTTGTCCTTGGACATGCTTATCTAGATGTTCCCACTAAAGTACATATTAAACTATATAAATGTAGCTTTGGTGAAGAGGAGAAAGAATCCTACAGGGATGCAGAAAGTAATTGATATTTGTCCTTTCAAAGTGAAACAGGAGTAGTATGTCCCCTTGTCCCTGTGTGATTTTAGGTAGATAACTAGACTGTCTGAAGAAACTTTGTTTATGGACCTTGTAGTAAGAAAACAGATGCTGGCTCTGGCCAGCTATGATTTGTAGGGAGAATGAGAGATTTGAGCTTTTAAGATTTGTTTTCTGGGAACTAGAGTCTGAAAAAAAAAATCTGCTCAAGTATTGGTGTAAACTGTAAAGCCTCCACTACTGTATATGCTTTCAGGCCACTGCTGGGTAAATATAGAGGATTCCCATTTCCCCTTCTAGCAACACCCCTAGCACTTGCCTCTACCCCTAGGGATAGGGTATTTAAACAACACAATGTGCAAATGCTTAGAAGATAGACAAAACTCATGGCAGAACCCCCACCCCATGGTCATTCTTATAAGGATTCTCAAGGTTGAAAAACTGCCAGACAACAGTAACTTACATAGTAGCAATGGATTACAGCAGGGGAGTCCAAACTGTGGCTTGCGAATAGCATGTGGCTGTTTTACACTTCAAGTGTGGCTCATGGAGGGGAGAGGCTACAGCAAAAGTAGTGGCTCTCCCTGCAGCCCTTTGCTCTTTGCTGCTACCTCTTCTCACAGCAGCAGCTCCCAGCTTCCTGGCTTCAGCAGCTGCAGTGCAGGGAAGGGGCCCAGTGGCACCCTAGGCTGGCCTCATAGTGTCACATGTCAGTGCTTAGAGCTTCAGCAGG